GACTTTTCTATTCAGTTTACCGCACTCTACCCGCACATGAGCGTTGACACGGACATTATGAAACACCCTGTACATGCAAATCTATGTTTCTAATATGTAGAAGGAAATAATAAGAAATACGTCATGTGAGTAGGAATTCGACGAAGCAAAAGATATTGACGTGTCAACTGATAAATAATTTTTTTATGGACGTATCTAATTAATTATTGAAAAAATAATTAAAAGACTGCAGTTTTTACGAGTAAAATTTCTTAATCAGCACTATGAAGTACACAACACGTGATGAAATGCACAATGACCGTTAAATTCTTGACGATAACGTTACAATCATATAGATAATAACGTCGATCTGTTTTTTGTTAGAAATTGTTAAAAGAATTTATTGTAATTTATCTACATAAAAATATTTATAAAAAAGTTATCTGTTGAAGTGGTTTTAACTATTTTTAAATAATAAATTTTTTTTTTATAAATCAAATATAATTATAATTAATATATTAATATTGTGTGCATTTATGCTACTTTTGTGTTTCAATAAATAATATTATCATTTATTATAATATTAATTATCATATATATGATAGTATTATTTGAAGTACAGTATTATTTATAATTTATGCATATCATATAATATTAGTTTTATGCATCGAGGTAAAGTATTTCAGATTCTGCGCAAATAACTCAGAAACGATACAGAAATGACTGATACTTGTCTATTCGCCAGCTGCTATTCTTATCAGCGTCTCGCGGTTCTCGATAAACAGCATAGAGATCCGTGACGATATCTTAATGATATCGGATTGCTCGTTTCATGCTAAATCGTCCGTGAAAGATCAAGTATTAAAGCAATTAGTAGAACTTCACGTACCAATCCTATTAATCATTGAATCATTCTGAATACTTTTATTTCAGTAGAAGATATTAAATCATTTTTTTTTACTTTTTATTATAATTCTTGACAAAATAAACATTTTAAACGAATGAAATTTTAGGAGAAATTATTTTTATATATTCTTTATATCTCGTTTTATTATATATATACACAAACATTTAAGAGAGATGGAAAGTTAAATATTGAAAGAGTTACTGAAATATCATCCTTTGTTATATTACCGGATAATTCCAGATTGGTCCGCATTATTAGCCATTCCAAAAAGAGCTTCCAAAAATACAAAGTAGAAGATTAAATATTGAAACTGGCAATGTGAAATATCATTAATCTTTGTATTATTACATAACTCTAGATTAATCTAAGTTTAATATTCAATTGATATCCAATTAATTACTTTCCATGATTGATGGACAATGATTCTGGCAAATATCAATAAATAATTCTGATTAGCTGTTCCAAAAAAAGCTTCCAAAGATATAAAATTGAAGATTAAATATTGAGACTGAAATATCATTAATCTTTATATTATCAAATAAATCTAGATCAATCTTGATTAATACCCAATTAATTGCTTTCAATAACGATCGATGAACAACGACTCTGGCCAAATATCAATAAATAATTCTAATCTGAGAATTTCGAGAAATGTCAACAGTTTGCTCAATCAGCTGATCGATATATCGTGCACTAGGAGAGAGCGACGGAAGCGGAGGATGGCGTCACTGACTCGGTGACTGATTAATGCGTGGTATTAAGTAAATTGGTAGATAACGACTGCTTGGTTATCGTTCAAAGTCAAAATGGCGACTTCCTTTTTGTGTACATCAGCAAAGGGAGATCGCAGGCTCCCGAGAGCAACGTCGAGTCGCTCTGACAGCAATATCTCGCACAAACAATAACGAACCTTCGCATGCTCCGGACGTTATTCATTCGCACTGAGATTAATATGTGTACAAGTGATTTGTGGAAATCGAAGCACGATGTGTTTATTACATCGAAGTTAATAAGTATAATGCGTTCCTGTGTGAAAATCGCATACGATATGATGTTTGCCATATCGAGTTAAGTATGTTGATTTCTATATGGAAATCAAGCGCGATAACATGTCTGGATGTAATTAGTGTAATTAGTATAGTTAGTGTGGTGTTGAGCGACACACACGAATGACAAATAACTTTAGAATACGATAACGAGGCAAATCGGGACCTTTGTTCTGAAACATTTTGTGATGCTCGTCGTGTTAAAGTGTGAAAACGATGACGGAGAATGCGCAGAGATCCGCGGTGAGTGAAGACTCAAATGAATCTAAATTATTTTCGGTTCTGTTTAATAAGCCAAGTTGATATTCCAAGGCTAGTTAATTATTGGTGCGTAAACAAGGAGTGTCATGTGACTCTGCAACCTAAAGTGATTTTCATAATTTCTGACGCATACGCAAATTATGCAATGTTTCGGTGCAAAAAAACTGAACATAATTACTTTTTAGTACAATAATGTTTAACAATTCATCGATTATCATTATATGAGCGCAACTGAGACGCAAACGAATTGTGACATGTGCCTTCGAGATTTGTTATTCAAATCTTTTCCTGCCACTGCGTTATACATTCAGCGTAACAGTGATCTATATGTCTACAGAAGCCGCGGCCTTGGCGACAATCGCGCGGCGGCGTTATATTTTGCATTTTAAAACGCGGATTGTGACAAGTTGCACGGAAAATAAATTACGTCGTAAAAATATTTCAACGTACAACGTTGCATATTGTGCAACAAATTGTTAAAATATCTCTTGAAAATTGTCATATATTTCCCGTACATATGATTGTTAGTTTTTTTGATCACCCTGATAGTAGCTTTCAAATAGATAACTGAAAAATATTTCGACAGTTAAAAAAATCAATTCTGTATGCCAGGAGCCGATACCGGGCTGGACCGACGCGGAAGCTGCGCCGTCGCGCCGTCCTAAAGAACGGCGATTGCAATGTGCTGCAGTCGCGCATCTCTCGACGATCACTGCGCTTTCTGCAGGACATCTTCACGACCCTGGTGGACACGCAGTGGCGTTGGACTCTGCTGTGCTTCATCCTGAGCTTTCTGCTGTCCTGGCTGGGCTTCGCGGTGATCTGGTGGCTGATCGCCTTCACCCACGGCGACTTCGAGGAGCGTCACCTGCCGCCCGCCCAGCTGGAAAACAACTGGACGCCTTGCATTTACAATATCTTTAGCTTCACCAGCTGCTTCCTCTTCAGTATCGAAACTCAGCACACCATTGGATACGGCGGTCGCTCCACCACGGAAGAATGCCCGGAGGCTATATTTGTCATGTGCATCCAGAGCGTCTCTGGCGTCATGATTCAAGCTTTCATGGTAGGCAGCTTTCGTGATCGATATCTTCGGCGAGAGGATGTTGAATGTCGGACTGAGGGCTCGATTTTCATAAAATTCATATGATTGCAGGTGGGCATCGTGTTCGCGAAGATGACCAGGCCGAAACAGCGCACGCAAACTCTGCTGTTTTCGCGAAACGCCGTCATCTGTCAACGAGACGGCGAGCTCTGTCTCATGTTTCGCGTGGGCGATATGCGCAAAAGTCACATAATTGGCGCGAACGTTCGCGCGCAGGTGATCCGCAGCAAGACGACGAAGGAGGGCGAAATTCTGTCTCAGCATCAGCAGGAGTTAACGGTGGGCACCGACGGCGAGACCGGCGATCTTTTCTTCATCTGGCCGACCATTATCATTCATCGGATCAACGAGTCGTCGCCCTTCCACAACATGTCTGCCGAGGACATGTTAACCGAACGTTTCGAGGTCGTTCTAATCCTGGAAGGTACTATCGAGTCGACTGGACAGACCACCCAAGCCAGATCCAGTTATCTCCCGCAGGAGATTCTGTGGGGTCATCGTTTCGACGCCATGGTGAGCTACTCGAAGGAGCGGCAAGGCTACGAGGTGGACTACTCGCTGTTTAACAGCACCACTCAGGTTGACACCCCATTGTGTTCGGGTAGAGAGCTCGCGGAGTTCTACAGAGTGCAGGATGATCTTCGTCACGGAGCTGGTAAGTTATTGTGTAATGCTTCTCTCAATCTTATTATCCAGATGCTTCTTTTAAGCTTTGCTTAAAAGTAGGCGTAAAATGTACGCAGAAAAAAATTGGATATGAATTTTTTGTGCATTCTAAAATATTTTTAACTTATTTATACTTTTTGGCGATATAATTATTAGGTATTATTAATTAAATTATATTATAATTATTGAGTTAGTGCAAATCGTATCAGCTTTATAAAATGCTTATAATCAGTTTTACTGTAAGCCGAGAATCAAGAATCACGAGAATTATAGAGAAAGCTAAATACTTTGTCAACGGAATTTATGGCTGATTTCACGCGAAAAACGTCGTGTCAACATAGATCTCCGATTGTTATCAAAGTACAGACATACACGTGCGAAATACCGGCATCGAAACGTATCTTATCTCATCACTTATCTACATTACAATTAATCTAACATATTTTACAATCAATATTTTTGCTTAACGCTTAAGATAATTTCTCGATATACATTTGATAATTAATCATTGATATGCGTATGAATGATGTTCGTTAAGAAACACTGTTTACTTAAAATTATTGTGTCTAAAATTTAGTAGCTAAATATTTGTACTTTTTCCCGACAATATTTTAGCGATAGTCGAATTTAATGGTGCTTAAATTTTTAGAGACTGACTGTAAATAACCAGGCTTCGAATCCTACGCAATTAGATCTTCCGTTGTTTTTTATCGAACAAGAAATTAGATTAAATTTACATTAATTCTCTCTGTATAGATCTGAAACAAGAGAAATCAACTTCGTTCCATCTACATTAATTTCTTTATTTAAAATCTTTTTTTATCTAGCTGTTAACAGAAGACTAACTCTATTAAGTGTGCCGTCTGTCAGTCAGCATGTTAAGCCTCAGCTTGAACGAACGCCGAGCGAATTAACCCCCTTGCTTTCTGCTAATTGCTTGTGAAAGGTAAAACACTTCAGTTTGGCATGTAGCTTATTGTTCTTGTCTGACTGTACCGTCTGGTACCGGCTGTACCGCAGATGGAGGGCTGAGGAAAGTGCCTAGCGAGTCGAAGAACGTCCCGATCGTGTTCAACACGCTCCCTCAAGTTGACAGCACAGGCTTCCTCATCCACCAAGGCCACCCTATCCAGAGACCGCCTAGACTACATATTGACATTCCGTCTATCGACGATTGCCCTGAAGTATGACGACTCGATTTCTCTAGACTAGAAAGAAAGGAGGAGAAAGAAAGGAGACGAAAGAAAGACAAAGCGACGTAAAGACGAAAAAGAAGAAAAAATAGCAATAAGATAAAAATGATAAAGAGGCAACATCATTTATTTTACAAGAAATTAAATTTATATTTTTCGATATTTCAAAAATTATGAAGAAATAAGCAGCAGTTAAAAAGAGCTTTAAGATGGAAGTTTTGAAGAAACGAACAGCACTCTGATCATGTGTCCAAATTTAGGAAGAAACAATTGTTCAAACTTTTTGAAATTTTTGTTGAGCTTGATTGTAATCGTCTGTCAATCCTATATCAGATTACGCATTAAAAATTGAGATAATATTGTGAAATTACGTATTACAAATTAAAATTCGATTGACGAAAATTATAAATCTGAAGATCGCTCTTATATTAACTTATATTTCTTTTCAATCATTAATCGTACGATAAATATTGATCGAAAGTAAAATGAATTGAATAAGGATTAATGCTCTACGTTATATTTTTAAACTTATAAAAATCGCTAGAAGTAAAAATCGAAAATGGACGTGAAATACAACATTTCAAGATATTAAATTGTAAATATTGATTGTAATTACAATTAAATGACGATTTTCGACGGTGGTACAACTTTAATTTCGATCTTTGATACGTAGTCCATGTGTATTGTATAAATGGAACAAAAGGTGATTGAATTGTTATTTGACGTCTTTAAGAAGTTTTCTGGTCCTCCAACTTGTGGGTGTATGGGAAGGCTTCTCTAACTTCTAATTTTATATCTATTTAAGTATAAGTGCAGGAAGCGCAGAATAAATTATAAGAATGTACAAAATGTAACATAAGATCTGTCCGTTTTAGCTTTTATTGGGTCGTTGCATATAAAATGTCGCATAGCTTAAATTCTGGGTGTATGGGAGAATTCTGTCCTCAGCATGATGAGATTAAAACCGGGCAATAACATTAGCTGACCACAAACTCGATTCCTAATCGAATTGAAGAGTGCTTAAGTCGCAGACTACGTTCCAGGTATTCCGACCGACGAGGATCATTTAACGGAGAAGCAGCGTTGGCGTGATTATCAGCCGATTAATCAAGAACAATTTCTTGCATTTCCGGATTCTCCAAGAAGCCACAACAGCGCCGAGAACGAGTATCACAGGCGAAGTAAATGTTCTTGTAAATGTTCAAACTGCATTTGGCACGGACCGCAAACCGCGGATGTCAATCAATCCATGTTCGATTTCGATCCTGACGCCATTCAGGTGATGGATGATGTTGAACTTGAGAAATTGCCGGAAGCGGTGAACAGAGAAATCATGAAAAATAGTGAGGAGATTATTTTCGAAAAAGGTGAAGGAATCTCAACCAGAAATCTGGCTAAATTACGTAACGAAAAAAGTAAAATGCAAGAGCAAGACAGTTTGATGCGAGAGCAAGACAGTTTGATGCAAAAAGCTTTAATTAATAAAGAAAAGAAGGCGGCAATTCTGAAAAGTAGTCAAGAAATTATCTCTGAAATGGAAAAAGGAAACGGTTTAGAGAATATAATCAAAGATAGAGAATATAAACTGAATGAAAAAATAAGCGAGATTCTGAATAGTCAAGAAGATATTTCTGAAAATAAGAAAGAAGATTTTTTAGAAAGAATGATGGTTAAATTAAATGCAAAAAGTGTCGATGTCTTAACGGATCAAGAGACAATTTGCCAGGAAAAAGAAATTTTAGAAAGTCAGCTAGTCAGATTAGACGAGGGAAAGGATGACATCCCGAAAACTTCTCTCCATATCGAAGAAGAGAAGCTTGCTCTCGTAAAAGTTAAGGAAGATGGCAAAGATATTAGACATCAGATTAGGCAACCTCAACATGAATTCGAAAAAAAATCTAAGATAAGAAGTAATGAATTTGCAAGGAAGGATGATGAAGCATGCCTTGAAAAGTGGCAAAAAATGCAGAAGAAAAAATATCAGCTGATTGGCGAACAAAAATCCTCAAGAGAGTTTAACAGAAGTTTGAGTGATAATCCTTCCACGGTAATTTTTCCACATAAAATAGACAGAAGAGCCTTTAGCGATTTTGAAAAAAACAGAATTGATCAATTGGTCGTGCCATATCCAGGTCAAAAGAATCCGAAGAGAAATATTTTCCTAAACGAGAAGCAAGAGTTTAATAAAAGTTCGATTGATAATTTTTCTATAGAAAATGATCAAAAATCTTTCAAAACATTCGGAAGAAATGCGAATCAAGTAATTGTGCCAAATCAAGATCAAAGGGAAAGAGAATCTTCTTCGAGTGAGAAGCAAAAGTGTCTTTTGAAAGAGTTTAATAGAGGTTCCAATGATAATTCTGTTACAGATAATGCAAGATCTTTTCAAGAATTTGAGAAAAAGATATTAGAGGAAGATCAAAAATCACCAAGAAAGATTAAAAAATATCCAATAAAATCTTTGGATCGCTCAAATGGCAGCTCAGTTTCCCGTCCGCAACTGAACTACGATTTTCTTAGACGGGAAAATGACAATCATCAAGTAGAACAGTGCGATAATGTCAGAATGGAGAATGAGAAAGCTCTTAGGGAACCTTTATTAAATCGCCCCTCCAAAATAGCGATACGGAGTAAACTTTATATTAATCCCTGGTCGTTCTCTCCAGTTTCTGATCTTTCGCCAGAATCAGGTTTTTGCGAAGGAAGTTCAGAGATCAGTTCTAGAGAGCCTCGTTCGTTCACGAGGAAAATGTTAAAGAATATTGATATTGATATTTTAGGCAGAAAAAACAGTCCTTTGGAAAGCAATAGATTGCAAAAAAACGCGATCGAGATCAGTAATCCGGAAGAATGTGCTACAAATTATGTTGCGCAAACATTTTTTTACGTAGACAACAATACTCAGGATATTGATAAAATTTCTTTACATGTTAATTTGCCTTCTGAAAATTCTATCGAGGATAATAAGAATTCCGTAAAGCATTCTGACACTTTAAATACTGGAGAACAAATTATATGCACGGATTATGAGATACAGGCCGTCGATGAAGTAAACAAGAAATATAGATATTTAAATGCATCCAAAAAATTAATCAGCAATGTTGATGATCCAGAGGAGGCCTCCTTTACTATTAAAAAACCATTTGTCTCCGAAACAAAACAACATTCAGAATATCAATAAAATATCGGTAAGACAAAAGAAGCACATTTTATCTAGACGTCGATGTAGCTTATAAATATTCTGCTATAAATATTGATTGTTCGAAAGAATTCAACGATGTTACCGTTTTTGGGAAACAAGTTCACAACAATAACGACAACGTGATGAAGAATGAGAGGAAAATTATGAATTTTTCGAACAGCGCGATATAACTTCTAAAATTTAGTTAGCGATGTAATTGCGCTTGATCATACAAAGCGATGTAATAGTGCCTTCTGTAGAACAGGTTGTCTACAAAAACAAGAAAGTAGAGAATAAAAAAACAGATGCGAAATTCTTTAAACAATAGTATATCTTACGAAAATTTAGTTAATTCTCTATAGTTAATTATCATCGATTTTGATCGTTCTAAACAGCGTGATGATGCTTTTACTGTAAATATTGTGTGATGATATTTTTGTAAAATTGAATTGCTGTAGCGAAAGCAAGATAAAATTATGTGATATGTATAGGAAAATGTAGGGATTGTTTATGCGATAATTTTGTCCTGTGAAAACTAAGTTAAGAATCTTATAAATGAAGAGAAATACGCAAAGAGGTACCAATTATTGAAAACCGAATCGTTTATACATATTTGATAAAGTTTCGAGTGAATTCAATAATCGGCTCTATTTTTCGAAATAATGGATTTAACCGCTGGTCGGTTGACTATTACTTTATACACATATTTAAATCTTTTTGAAGAGGACAAAACTTCTTTGAAGAAAATATTGATGGAACAACAATCATTGTTCATTTATTGTTATTAATGTATGTATACAAGTTCCATTCTATAATTAAGCGTTATTTATTGTTGAAATAGAGTAAGAATATTGTAAGTCTTGCGAACACTTTTCCAACGTCGATTAATGTTAACTGACGATTTCTATTTGTTAATAGAATTGCTAACATGAAAAATAAAATATTTTTATTAAAGGTAACAAAAATTTTTAATGATTTTCTTTTTTTATGACGAAGAATTATTTTCTTTCTTTATCATTTTATTCATGTTAACTATTCTATTAACAAATTGAAATCGTCGGTTAACGTTAACTGACGTTGAAAAAAGTGACCCTTAATCTAATGTTTGTATCTAACGATTACGTCTCGTAATTAGCAGAATCAATATACCGGATGTTTTGATGAGTCGCGAGTTAATTTATTAAATTAAATTTGAAGGAAAAAAGTTCAAAATTTTTGAAACAATATTTAATCAATGTTATCTAAATATATATATATATATGTATATATACGTAGAAAAATTAAATAATATTAAGTCTGATCAACTGGCGGCTATTCATGCGACTTTTGGCACATTCGGTGCGCGAAATGGGATACTCATTCCCTTGAAAAAAAATCTCAGGACAAGAAGATATTATAACAGTACAAAAGAAATTATATTAGAAATTGGTGTTAATTGAAAATTCAAGCTTTCTGTCTTAATTATGCCAAATTAAAGGATATAGTTTTCAATACATCAATTAAATGTTTTTAATATCGAGATATGGTTTTTTAATATACTCCTAATTACATCAAAAACTCCAAAAGAACTAGAATTCCATTTAATTGTATATAAGAAACAATAAGCTAACACAATTTTACCTTTCTTTAAAATTTATAAAAATTAATAAAAAAAAAATCAATTAGATTAATTAGATTAATAAAGATTATCCAAACTCTCTTCTCTCTCCTCTCTCTCTCTC